TGAGTCATCTGGTTGACTAATTTTGACAGGGGCTGGGGTAAAACTCTCTTCAGGACATACCTGAGCTTGCGGTTCATCCAGATCCTCGTCATCAGCCTCTGTGTCAGCGGACGTTGGAGTAAGCTCAGCAGTCATTTGTGACAGCATCTGGCTCAAGACAATCTCAAAATCAGTCCCACTCAATTTCGCTACTTCTTTCAGTCCCTCCAGGTATGACTTTGTGACACTGGTTCCCTTATACTGTGTAAACACACTAGATAATGCTCTCACATGGTAAGTAACACTTGGGTCACTGGACAGCTGGTGAGTATAAGGTAGCTGTGGCTCTAGAGAATGCAAAGCTTGGCCACTGGTATATTCAAGTATAACACTTTGATAAAACTCAGAATCCTTGTCACTAATAAAAACTGTTTTGGCAAAAGAACCATATTGTTTTAGAAAATCAAACAGCTCATCATCACTTTTGTCTTGTGTTAATCCGCTAATGATCACTGAGTTCGGAATTTTAATCCCTTCTGCCTCTATTATATCCATTGTCAATTGTTACTGGTCAACGTAGGCAAAAATAATGGCTTAGAATGTAATTAATACTCAGCAACAGCGCCACCTCCTGGCTGGCTCGCCACTTTGTAACGGGTATTAAACCTTAAAGGACCAAACAATTAAAATCAGAAGATTACTAAGAACGGGAAAGGAGGTAGTGGTGATGCTGAGTAACTCACAGAGACGAAAGGGTAAGTTGCACAACGTTGTTCTGTATTATATACACACACAAAAGAAATAACAATAATATAAACACTAAGTAAAAATATACCCCGGGTGCACCCTTTATATGACGCTGTAAATTTTGTTAAATTCACAATTTAACAAATAGATGAGAGTTCAAATAAATCAGCAATTTCCAAATTGTTTTGTTACATGTAACCAAATAAAATCTTTCCAAATATATCAAGTTTCAAATCCAGGAAGATCAAAATAAAATAAATGAATTATTTACTTCCAACTGTCTTTTGGGTACTCACAAAATGTCTTCCTCTTGGAAAAAAAAAGACAAACAGTCTTAAGGATCAAATCCTCTTACTTGAGTGAAGGGAAATAGTGAAAAAGCAAGTGTCCTTTTTCCCTAGAAGTCAGTCCTTTCCTGTAGGTCCACTGAAACTGCACTTGGGAGGCTCGCCATCAACCGAGAATCGCAAGAATTCCAAAATCCAGCAACAAAAAAACCTGGCCTGTTCTTCTAATGTATTCTTTTTTTAATTCCTATCAGGTACACGTGACCACAGTGATGTCTGTGAGCGAGTCAAAATGCATCCATCGCGCTCAAATCAGCATATATCTACTCAATCCCTCGCCATCCTCGTGCTATAGACTTATATTTTTAACATTATATTGGTTTTAAAAGTTTTAACTTATGTATTTTTGCTATATTTACTTTATAATCACTCGGTTTTCCTTTCTGTCACGCTGTGTGTCTCTTCCGATGCTTTAGTAATATCCGCAACCACAAGGGGGCGGAGATGAGCATCCAGCGCTCTCATTTGCTGACTTAAGACTGCTGACAGCCTGACACCCAATCAGAGAATTATAACTCACATATACATGTTTTAACATTTTTTATACATTTTATTTTAATACTTATTTTAACATCAACACTTTAACACTTTAATAATGATGATGAGGTGTATATTTATTTATTATTTTATCTGTTTTATCTAATTTTATTTGTCTTATCTATTTTATCTATCTTATCTGTTTTATCTACTCCCATTCATTATTTTATGGGGGTTACACCTGCTCTGTTAAACATTATTTGGGAATTATTTAAAAAAAAAGAAAAACAATTCAAAGGGTGGCTAAAAATTTTGACTTCAACTTAATATATACTGTATGTATTTAGACTTTGTCTAGAAAATGGTTGAATTTGTCTAGAAATGCTTAAATTCTGATTTAAAAAAAAATTAGATATTTGAATATTTAGACTAGAAATAAGACAAAAACTACTCAGTTTTTGTGTCTGCTTAACAGAAAAACGGTACAATTTTGGCTATAGGGGGAACTATATTAAAGTTGCAGTATGTGAATTTGAATTAGGTATTGCTGGTTTGGTGAAGGCTAATTTAAACCGTGTTCTAAATGAAAGCAAGGACACGTGATAGAAGGAATATTTTCCATATTCAAAAGAGTTTTAACCAACATCTGAAATTTAGGCTATATTATAGAAATGGCTTCTAGTTCTTGCAGCTGAACGACAGAACTAACAGACAACCTTTACCTCAAGTACACCTTATGTGCTTTATTCAGTGTTTATAGCTATTGTTTATTGGAGCAGATAGTTCAGCTCAGATTTTGAAAATAAAATAAACCGTTTGGAATTGAACTTTAGAACTGTGACTGAACAGTGAAGATCAAGACATATTAGTGATATTTGAAGTTAAAGAAGTTTAATATGTTAAAGAGATTTAATATGTATTAATTAGGTTCTAAAACTTACCATTTAGTTGGAGTGCAGTAAGTGCACTATTCTGAGCTTCTTAATAGCCGTATTTAAATTTCTGTCGTGTTTCGGCTGGTGCAAAAAAGGGCAAATTGCTTATCACTGCAAATCTCGTCACTTAGCATGTTGTTGGGACACGCTGCTGCTACTGTCCACTGGAGGTCATATTTCTGTCACGGATCAACATTTTGAGAGCCTTTCTGAATAAATGAATAAATGAAATAAGTGTTTTTTCACCTAGGCATCCCGGGGTGCTATAATATAATTGGCTAAACTGGCATTGGGCCAGTTAAAAGAACCAAAACAAAGAACAACAGAGTCTTGTGTCAAAGTTCCAACACGTAACGCACATTTTTAAAGCAGAATATCGGACTTCAGCATTGTTTTTCAGATAAACAACTATGTTCCCTTAGCATTTTTCTTAAATCTGCAAACATTATATGGTATTTTTATGCGTTAGATGAGTCAAAAACTTTAACCTTTAACTACTTCAGAATAGTGCCCAACTTTTATGCTGATGATAGACTTTTTGAGCAATGTCGCCGGGCAATTTTGCAAAGCGATGTTGCTTGGCTACTTTTCTATTAAGATTGAGCAACACTATTTTATCTGTAACCAGGGCCGGAGTGGGACACCTTTTCAGCCCTGGAGTTTCAAGCCTCAGACCGGCCCACCTCAGTTCACAACTGACTATATTAAAATAAGGTCATTTCCAAATCAGTTTCTAATGACACTATCACGTCTTTTTTTGAGAAAACAGCTGCTTTAGAACTTCAAATGTTCAACAACCATAACAGTATTATATGTCTTAACAATAAAAATGAAAACAAAAAGTTACTCTAACGAGGATCAAACCTGGGTCCGCAGCATCTTAACCTAACATGCTAACTGCTAGACCACATTAGTTGTGTTTGGTAAGGAGACACAACTGAGTTTTATAATCATTAAAACAGATGAAAAGAGAAGAGTTGCGGTAAAATAATGAATAAAAAGGCTGTGGTCAAGTAAATAAATAAATTTAAAAAGTGTGACTGCTGAGAGCAACAGATTCAGGAGCTAGAGACACCGGCCCTTGTGGCCAAAAAACGGACCGGCCCACCGAGAATTCTCCCGGTCCTCCCGATTAGCCAATCCGGGCCTCTCTGTAACCCATTGACCTAGTTAGTTATCATGTGTCTGACCTGGTTGCCTATTTATGGCATAATTCAGCCTGATCTCACGAGGAAACATAAGTATTTTACGTTTTTTCAGTTTAGTGGCTAATTCATATGAATTCATATGAAAATGTATGATTTTAAAAAGGAGGAGTGGCACATAACCTCACCCCTAAACCCAACCGTCTTTGGGGGATAAGCAAAGCATACTAAATTATACAAATAAGATCATCACTGAATCAAAAAGTCACAAATTGCCGTGAGATATCGCTGCATCATTTCCCAAAGTTGCCCAGACACATTGCTCAAAAAGTTGTCTGCATTCATCTCCATTCGCATGAAACCCATGTCACACAATGAAAACAAATGTAGCTTATTACATGACTACCGAGCCCTTGTAGACAGGGTGAATACAACCTGGCATATGGAAGAGAATATTAGTTCTTGGGGGTCAGCCTGGTTTCTATTACTGGGTTTCTATTACTATTTGGTACAAATAGAGCCCCTATTAGCTTCTAGCTGGCTGATGCTGTTTCCATACCGCTTTGAAACTTTGAACAAGGGTATCGGTAGACAGGATATGCCTTCTGATACCTCTTAGTGGAAGGAAGGTTGTAATTGAGTGCCTTACAGACATGGTTTGAATGTGGATTCCTGCTTTTGGCTGATCTAGTTCCAGTCCACTCATTTCCATTTTATAATTCGTGGTTATAAGCCAGAAAAATTGGTTTAACACTGTTTTTAAAAACTTAATTTAATATAAAGCTGAGCTGAAGAAATGCTAGCACTGTCTATGGCTATTATTATTAAATACATAGTAATTAACCTTTTACTATATTTCTCTGTATGGTTAAATATGGAAAACTATGCATGAGTGGGGTATCAATCATGCAAGTGAATCAAGGATTTCACTTTCAACTTATCTCTTAAAAGAACAGGTTTATACACGCTGCCAGTGCTAGAATCGCTCCAGGTACTGTGAAAAGCAAAAAAAAATTGTAGTACCAAACTGCCTGGAGAAACACCTGGATGTGCAATGTTTGTGTTTAGGACAGTTTATAGTGAGGTAACAGCTTGTAATGGTGTTATATTTTCATTTATGCCCCAAGTCTGAGGAAACGTATACCCCAAGTCTGAGGTAAGCTTCAGTTTGGCTCACTGAGAAAAGGCCAACAATAGACTCAGGCTCCAGAACTTGAACAATTCTGCTGAAATTTCTGACCAAGCAGCCTCTCCATAGATAAGCAGTTGAAAAACCAGTTTACCTCCTAGCATGTTCCTAAACACAACTATTAGCTTGGGATGAAGAAAGCAAGGTGCAAAGTTGCTTGATACTGAATTTGGAAAAGCTGTAAAAATTGTTGGTACATTTGAAATTTATTTTGAGTCTGACATTCTATCCTTCTGCCCACATGCAGTGGAGTCTATCGCGACCCACATTTAAAGCAAGTAACACATGTAAAAAGTGTTATTTACATTTGACAGAAGCAGTTTGGCTGACCACAAAGGAAAGCTGTGCAGCAGCACTGAAAGGATGTGGACTCAAGTCATACAGTCTACAAGCTGAGCTTTGATGCCTTCTGAGATTCACATCAAGAGAAAACATCACAGAAACAGTCCTCCGTGGTCTGCTGCGGAGCTTCTGGGCCTGCAGGGGTCCTGGAGTAGTTCTCCTCCAGACGTGGTGATCACTTCCTCCTGGTGGAAAAGGAGACCATCAGCCAACAAAATCAACATCAGTCCTGGGACAGCCATGCATTAGCAACACTATCAATTCTCTGCATCAGCTGCACAGATGGAAGGACAGGTGTGTTCGCCACGTCTTTGTTCTTCATACCCCATGGGGCCTGCAGTCGCCCCGTGAGCATGTTTTTCTGTCTTTCTACAACAGTAGGCCTGTTATTTGCTTTATAGAAGAAGTTTAGAGAAAAAAAACCCTGTCTTTAGTCTTCAGTATTGCAGGATTCTTCAGTAATCCTTTATAATATATTGTTCAGGTGCTGAAGAAGCATTTCTTTTGTAGTTGTGTCAAGCTCAGCCGAAATGGTTTATTGGGTAGAAATTGGCAATTTAAAAAAAAAGCTTACCCTTTATCATTCCTCAGATAGAAGACGTTTTCACAACTAAACAAAAAAGAAACGCTATATGCGTTCTGATCCTTCATTTACATGATAACGCATTTTTGGGGGCCTGAAAATTCAGGTGCAAGTTTTTGAAAACTATACATAGCATCTCTGCATATAGACAAAAATGTGACTTTGTGAAAATGTGTACACCCCTCACAAATCTTTCATTTCAAGAGTTCACACTTAGATATTGTTTGACAAATGTTAGCAGGTTTGGCATGCTGTCTCGGGAGAGAACCCTGAGCTCGGAGATAATTAAGCCCAGGGCTCCTGCCTGGTCGATAGAGCATGTAAGGGGAGTGTGGGATCAGGTGGTTCTCGAGAGCTCCCCGTGGTAAAGGAGTAAAGGAGGAAAAGGGGTGGATGGGGGGGGTTTCTTCGGAAAACGAACATAGGGGAGTAGTTCTAACTAGGCTACTTATAGTGAGTTTGAATTAACCTGATTGGCTAACTAATGATTGTAGATGGGTGACCAGCTGCAGTCAATCATAACACGTGCTCCTCTCAAAATTAGTTTGTGAAACTTCAGTTGATTTCATATTTTCTATAGGATGAGTTAACATATTATATTTGTGCATATACATTAGATTAGTCAGCACCAAAGCTAAATCTGGAGCTTATCTAACAAAATAACTTACAATAATGGTCCAAAAATATGTAACTCAAATTTATATGTTAGGGAAATATTATTTTAAAAATAGCAAAATCAAGAGAAAAACACATGGCAATATTTCGTATGAATTTAAATGTTTAATCGTTCTATTTCTAAAGATGTTCAAGGAATAAAAAATTATTTTAATAAATACACACTACCGGTCATAAGTTTGGTGCAGTTTTTTATTTATTTAATAATTTTATTTAATAATTTTAAAAAAATATTCTGTTCTTCTAGGCGGCATTTATCGAATGTAAAAAAAATAGTTAAATTGTTTAAATATTTATTATTAAATATATTTTTATTAGTTATTGTAAGTAGTTTTAAATGAAATTATTACTCCATTCATTGTTGTTTTTATTACTAATATTACATGATAATATTAATAATAATTATAATTAATATTAGAGTGAGTTCTGAAGGTTCATTTGACTCTGAAGACTGGAGTAATGAAGCTGAAAATTCATCTTTAAAATCATTGGAACAAATAATTAAATTAAATTCAATTAAATTATAGACTACTTTTGAACAGTTATTTTATAGTGCAATACCATTTCACGATTTTACAATTCGTACTGCATTTTTGATTAAATACATGCAGCCTTGGTTGAAAAAACATTTGTGACGCGACTACAATGAAAATAATGCAGTCTGAACTCGGGATAAGAGAGCTTGTTGGTAGGGCCCCAAAGAGTGAGTTACAGACTACACAATTGCCTACCTTGGTGCCAAAATGACATCAAATTAAGATCTAACATTAGTGTAAAAAAACAAAAAAAACATTAAAATTGATTACCAAACAGTTGTGTACTTGTTTTTTGATGTGCTTTTGATGCCAATGTCAGATCTCAATTTGACCATAAGGTAGTTTACATGCATCTATGTTGTTATTTTGGTGGTCAGAAAGGCATCAATGTTTGGATGCCAAATAGAATTCGATGTTTTAAGATCATATTGATTTGCATTTTTGCTGTTTTGTGCCGGCATAATGCTTGATGTCAATGTGATGTCATTTTGACCTCAAGGTGCCCGATAGGAAAGTTTACCTTGTGGAAGTTGATGAGGTCAGCTAAGGTGGCGTGGCGGTTCTGGTCAACACCTAGGAAGTTGTAATGATCACCCGAGGCGTCAATGAGGAAGTGCTTAAAGCCTGAGGGGTTGCGGTAGGACAGCGTGTAGCCCCAGATTCGCTCACTCACTCTGACCAAGAAAGAGCCTTCTACCGCATTCGTCAGCAAAGCCTCTGATTCCTGCCGGGATATTATTCCTGCGGAGGAAGGAGATGGGTGACAGTGAGATAGACAGATGGAGAGCCGGAGACAGCGAGAGGCGGAGTGACAGACAGGAGGAGGCAGATATGGAGAGAGATTGAGTGAGAGAGCAGCTGGAAGTGCAGGTGTTGTGCTCTGATCTCAAGAGTGACGTTCTTGTGTTTCCTGGTCGAATGGCATCACTCAGAAGGTCGTTAATCTTATCATTGACCAATCAGAGGCCACACACTGTGGCTCTAACAAGCTGCAAATTATTGAGTCCTCCTGTCTGCTGTTTTCCTCTTCTCTCTGTCTCTGTCATTATTATTTTCTTAAACTAATCAATGTCTTTCTATCATTGCAACCACTAAACTACTGCGCATTCCAAGAAGACTGTGACTTCAGAGTCCATTTTTGAAAAGTACACCAGAGGCTGTTTTACGTGACTCTTGTCAACGGCGCCCCGGAGCATTGAACTCTGGGGAGTGCAGCATCAGCGTTACGCTAGCACCAGGTCAAGCGCTGTGATGCTCCATATAAAGTTCAAACTATTTCAACTCTAACTTCAGCTGACCCTGTTTGCAAGTGACCTTTTAGAGTGCAGTCAGTGGTGTAAACGGACAGTGTTCATGATGTGTCTGTCTTTAAAACGTTTGAGCTTGTCTTCAAAACAATCTCTGCTTGTAATTATTTATACATATGTTGGTTCTTTCAGATTTTTCAAAAGTACAGGGTTGGTAAGACATTCTTTTGAATGATTTTGAAAGGTCTCTTACAAAAATACAGTTATATGGTAATATTGTGATCTAATTTTACTTAAAAATATTATTTAAAAACTCTTGAAAAAATCTCAAAGCCCTGCATTTGCTGATTAGGTAAGTTTTGACACATGGCTGCTGGTTTAAGATGGTTCTTGCTGGTTATATAATGACTTGTGCTGGTTCTTTGCTGGTCATTTGCTGGTTCTTGATGGTTCTTTAATGGCCATATGATGTTTTATGCTGGTTCTTTGCTGGTCATGTGTTATTATTTTTTTGCTGGTTGCGTGAGGGTTCATGCTGGTTATTTTCTGGGCATTTGATGGTTTATGCTAGTGTTGGTTTAAACTAGTTTATTGCTGGTCATTTACTGCTTTAACCATTTTCTTTGCTGGTCATGTGTGGGTTGTTACTGGTGATAAGCTGGTTTATGCTGGTTCTTCACACAATATACACAGGGCAGGAGCAAGCTGAACTGCCGCTCTAGGCAGAGGACGATCATGCCGCCCTCAACCCCAACGTGAAAATTAAGTGAGGTGTCGCTGACCTCTATTCCAGCGCACTATGCGCAGATATAACTGAGGACGCGCGGGTGCTGAGGGAGGGAGGGAGGGAGGGGGGGTGTCGCGGACACTGCGCTCTTTATTCTGCCGCCCTATGCGCGGATATAACTGAGGATGCGCAGGTGTCGCGGACCTCAATTCTGCCGCCCTATGCACAGATATAACTGAGGACACACGGGTGCTGATAGAGGTGTCGCTGACGTCGCCCTCTTTATTCTGTCGTCTATGCGCAAATATATCTGAGGACTCGGGTGGTTAGGGAGGTGTCGCGGACATAACTGAGGGCGCGGGTGGTAAGGGAGGTGTCGCAGATGCCGCCCTCTCTATACTGCCGCCCTAGGCAGCCGCCTAGGTCGCCTCTATGGACGCGCCGGCCCTGAACATACATTATTAGGTTGGATTTTGGTCATGACGTCAATCTCTAGCCAGCGTTTAAGGACAACGTTAGTTCGACATCCAATAACAATATCAAATTATGTTGATATTAAGTTGATTTTAGGTTGTGTTGGAAAGTGACCAAAATCAACGTCTGATAGATGTCATAGTGGTAAGGTTCACACAACGTCAAGGTGTAACATGATTAGACGTTGATATTTGGTTGATTATGTTAGACATTGATGTCGGCCTGACGTTGGGTTCTGAGGTCAACCCGATTTTTATTTACAAACAAAATTCATCATCCCCATGACACTGGGGTAAGTTGGGGTACAACGTCAATATGATGTCATGTTGACATCCTGTGCCTGCAGGGGGGTGGAGGGTGGGGGATATGCTTGTTTTTTTTGCTAGTTGTGCTGGTTCCTTCTAGTTATAAGTTGGTTTATGCTGGTTCTTTACTGTTTATGTGCTGGTTCTTATTGGTCATAAGCTGGTTTATGCTGGTGATGTGCTGGTTTTGCTGTTTCCTTGCTGTTCATGTGTTGGTTCTAAGCTGGTTCTGACCAGCAAAGAACCAGCCTAAACCAGCAGCCATGTGTCAAAACTTACCTTAGAATTAGTTTTTTTGGTTTTTGATGTCAAATCTGCTGTCATTTATAAAAAATGTGAACTTTAGAATGTCAAATTGTGCCATATTTTTAAACCATTTATGACAAGTCCTTTTGTGTTCACATTTTGTTGTTCAATGGTATGCATTTACAAATTCCTGAAATTGTCCTCTCATTGCATCTGCTTTTCTGTATAGAGGTCACAGTGCTGCATGGTGCCATGAGGTGAGAATAGGCCTCAAGATTCTCTTTACCGTGAAACCAGGGTGCGATGGTGTTGCTGCTTCGTTCATAACCTGCTCGTTTCGGCCTCTGCTCCTTCTTAAACCAGCGGATGATGGATTCACGCGAGTTCGGTCTGGTTGGACGAATCCAGACAGGACTGAAAAGCAATGAAGACAATCAAATGCCTGTTTGTTTCGCTTTATTGTGGCATTACAGGCCAGAGTATGTGAGAGGTATTGTCCAGAACATTTATTATTGATCTCAGCATTGATTTTACCATTCTGTGAGCGACTGTGTGACTGGACTGCTGTAGCGATGGTGTTGTCTGTGCCTGTAATGGCCTGAGGTGAGTTGTCCAGCACTGGTTGCATGCGAATGGCTGGCCTCAGCTGGAGGAGATGAATGTTCAGCGGCTGTGCCGTGTCGTCGGTTGTGACCCGATCCATTCAGGTGTGTCTTATGGAACAGACCACTGAGTCCAGCCACCAGACCCTTCTCAGCGGCCCGCAGAGACTGCCGCTTGTATTCATCTCTAGCCCTTCGTGCCTTGCATTTCATCTCCTCATCTGCCGCCTTGGAGCGCCGCACTGTGGGAAGCAGGGAGGAATTTGAATAGAAATAAGCTACTTTATATTAGAGCAGGCGGACTACCCATTTTCTTTCCAATTCCGTTTGTTCTCTCACATTGTTCCTGCCATTCTTTGTCATCTCTTTCGTTTCTCTTTTCCTCCTGCTTCAGAGAGATGTACAGCTCCTTTGCTCTCTTTTCCTCGGTTTGCCGGATTTCTTCCTCGCCTCTCTGTCTCTCTTCCTCCTCACATTTCTGTGACAAAAAAGGGAGAAGGAATCAGCCCTAGCTAACACAAAGGCACAAAAGTTTCGCCCCAGCGTGCTTTAGTTTTCTCATTTTCGGTGTCATTAAGCTGGGAATATAAATGATTAATTCGCAGGACAATGTCATTAACCCAAACATCAGCGCCTTCAACTCCATTATAGATCAGGCGTACAAATGCTGGCCTTGTGTTCCGGAGATCACTATCTACATTCTGAGAGGTTGCCAACTTTTAAATAATTCATTTTCAGAACATGGAACACATAGTAATTAGGTCTAATTAACCCCAATCTCTATTATGAGACCCTAATTAAGAGGCCGGTTGAAGAATAAAAGTAAACACCCTTAACTATTAGATCTTTTGTAACAACTTTGGTTCACAAATGTCATGCTGTTTTTAAGGGGTATACATGTATTATAACGGTAGTTAGATGAGACATGACCCATGAAAAGACAAATTAGCAATTCATGATTTATGTATGCTTAAGACATGTTCGTCTACCACTTTGTCTGTGTCGAAATCCAATAATATGGATACATCTACACTCACCGGCCACTTTATTAGGTACACCAGTCTATTTGTTCGTTAATGAAAATTTCTAATCAGCCAATCACATGACACCAACTCAATACATTTAGGCATGTAGACATGGTCAAACAATCTGCTGCAGTTCAAACCAAGCATCAGAATGGGGAAGAAAGGTGATTCTGATACAGTGGCTTAGAAGGTGGCATGGTTGTTGGCACCAGACAGGCTGGTCTGAGTATTTCAGAAACTGCTAATCTACTGGGAGTTTGGCGCACAACTATCTCTAGGGTTTACAGAGAATGGTCTGATAGAGAGTAAATATCCAGTAAGTGGCAGTTCTGTAGCTACAAATGCCTTGTTGATGCCAGAACCCAGAGGAGAATGGCCAGACTGGTTCGAGCTGATTGAAAGGCAACAGTAACTCAAATAAGCACTCGTCACAACCAAGATATGCAGAACAGCATCTCTGAATGCACAACACATCCAACTTACATTAGCAGAAGACCACACCGGGTGCCACTTCTGTCAGCCAAGAACAAGAAACTGAGGCTACAATTCACACACTGGAAAATGTTGCGTGGTCTGATGAGTCTCAATTTCTGCTGCGACATTCAGATGGTAGGGTCACAATTTGCGTCAACAACATGAAAGCATGGATCCATCCTGCCTTATATCAATGGTTCAGGCTGGTGGTGGTGGTTTAATGGTGTGGGAATATTTTCTTGGCACACTTTGGGCCCATTAGTACCAATTGAGCATTGTGTCAATGCCACAGCCTACCTGAGTATTGTTGCTGACAATGTCCATCCCTTTATGACCACAGTGTAGCCATTTTCTGCTGGCTAGTTCAAGCAGGATAACGCACCATGTCATAAAGTGCAAATCATCTCAGACTGGTTTCTTGAACATGACAATAAGTACACTGTACTCAAATGGCCTCCACAGTCACCGCATCTCAATCCAATAGAGTACCTTTGGATGTGGTGGAATGGGAGATTTGCATCATGGATGTGCAGCTGACAAATCTGCAGCAACTGTTGTTCAACCTTGTTCAATCTATGCCGTAAAGAATTAAGGTAGTTCTGAAGGCAAAGAGGGTCCAACCTGGTACTAGTAAGGTGTGCCCAATAAAGTGGCTGGTGAGTGTATATTTCTACATTATGTACATCAAAAATGGAAGGGATTCTTCCAAAAAATTTAATTCTGTCATGAATTGTTCACCCTTCACTAGTTCAAATCCTATTCAAGTTTATTTCTTCTGTTGAACACAAAAGAAGATATGTTAAAAAATGTGTTAAAAAATAATAAAATGTTTAATTTCCACACTATTCTTTGCCTACTATAGAAGTTGATGGCTTCCAACAACCAGCATTATTCAAAATTTCTTCTTTTGTGTTAAACAAAAGAAAGAAACTTATAAATGTTTAAAACCACACAGTGTAGAGTAAATGATGAGCCTATTTTTGCGTAAACTATCATTTTAATACAAATAGCTTAATCTAATTGTCCAGTGAAAGCTTTTTTACCTTTATTTTTCTGAGAATATGTTGTTACTTACCAGGTCCATTCCTTTATGAACACATTCTTATAATGGATATTATTAGCAAGATATTAGACCATGTCACAAAGCTTAAATCATTCCAGTCTGGTACTTGTACATGACAGTGAAATCACCACACTCAAATGGACCCAATAGTCACCAGGTCTCAATCTAATAGAGCACCCTTGAAATTTAGAGGAATAGGAGATTCACATTCACATTGCAAATGTTGCGTAATGCTTTCATGTCTGTATGGATCAAACTTCTCTAAAGAATACGTTCTGAAGGGAAATAGAGTTAAATTTGATACTATAAATTTTCCTATTTTACTATAAATTTCTCCATTTTAAAATGGATTGTGATTGAATAAATGGGGGAGATATTTGAGAGAAAATGTATTACTTTCTTTTAGCACAGTTATACATTTATCACAACTAACAGTAATTTTATTTTTTAATGAAATTAATGTTTACAGTTTGGTCCATACCATTTATTATTGATTTTTATCATAGATTATTCCATTCTGTGAGCGACTGTGTGACTGGACTGCTGCAGCAATGGTGTTGTCTGTGCCTGTGCCTATAATGGCCCGAGGTGAGTTGGCCAGCACTGGTTGCATGTGAATGGCCTCAGCTGGAGGAGTCGAATGTTCAGTGACTGTACCGTGTCATTGGTTGTGACCCGATCCAATCATAAATGTTTCTTTTGGAACAGGATGTTGTTTGTTGTTGTTTATTTTAAACTGGCCAGTATGGCAAATGTTTTATACTGGCTGAAAGCAGCCTAGATTAATGGAACACTGCACTTTTTTTTGGAAATAGGCTCGTTTTACAATTCTTCTAGAGGTGAGTTTTACCATTTTTAAATCCAATTAGTCGATCTCCATGTCTGGGCGAGAACATTTTTAGCTTAGCTTAGCATAAATCATTTAACTGGATTAGACTATTAGCATTTTTAATAAGTTTTAATAATTTTTTTTTTTAAAGCTTGAATGTTCTGTAGTTACATCTAGGGCTAACAAAATATTGTTTGAGCTTTGATATTGCAATGTGTGTATCTGCAATAGTTACATCGCAGGATTATTTAGTAAGATTAAAAGATAAATATATTATTAAATATCATTATTTTTAAATTACTTATACAAGGAGGACCATGGTATTTGAAACTTTTACATTCAATTTCTGTTCTTGAGTACTGTTTGATCCCTCGGAAAACCGTAAAGCAGTTTTATATTTATTTATTTTTGCTTGCAATTTGTTATATTTTATGCAAACAGAGCTATCATTAGGTAAAATTTTACCCATATCGCAATATATAAAATGGCAAACCAACAGGAAAAGTTTATATTTTCTAGGTTGATTTAAAAACTATACTTATATTTTGACATTAATCAAGAAACAATGATAAGAGCAATGAAATACAGATCTATTAACTAGTCAGCTAACTGGGGGGACTATATTCAGGTGCTGTTTAATATCAGCCAAGGTACGGCAGCCAAATCTCTTGATCATTACGCTAGTAATGAGAGTATAGTTTCTAGCCATATTGACCTAGGAAATAGCAACTCTTCATTTTCTTTTTCAATTGTCTCTGGGTTTAGAATACAATAGCCGCGTTTCCACTGTCACGTCTAAAGTGAGCGTGCCAGTGTGAGCCATGGCCAGTTGCTTTTCCATAGTCACTTCGGGGGCCTGATTGGGCCAAAGTGGGACTTTCTCTGAGCCTTTTTTGGCCCGCCGAATACTTTAGGCCAAAGAAGGTCAGCTGGGGGTTCGGGGCGGTGTAAAGGCAGAGTTAGCCCGAGTCTGGTAAAGAGGGCATGACACCATTATATATTCTGATCCCACACATGTATAGACCTATAATGTAATGCTGTACATTCATTCATTCATTTTCTTTTCGGCTTAGTCCCTTTATTAATCTGGGGTCTCTACAGTGGAATGAACCACCAACTTTTCCAGCATATGTTTTACGCAGCATTTGCCCTTCCAGTTGCAACCCATCTCTGGGAAACATCTATACACACTCATACACTACAGACAATTTAGCCTACCCAATTCACCTGTATTGCAGGTTTTTGGACTGTGGGGAAACTGGAGCACCCAGAGGAAACCCATGCGAACGTGTGGAGAACATGCAAACGCCAATCAGAAACGCCAACTGACCCAGTCGAGGCTCGAACCAACGACCTTCTTGCTTGAACCTACTGCGCCTCCACGTTGCCACGTCGTTTGGTTGTCTCAATTTTAATCGTTTTGTGATGATGCTATGGTGTGCTTTTTCTGCCTGATTCTCACTGAACTGGGCGGGTTGAGTGATGTTTAATTTGGGGTATGTTCTGGGGCGATGTTTGTGTGCTGAGTTGCAAGTTATTGTCCCGACAGTGGAATTTTTTTCATTGCAGCTGAAAAGGCATCCATTGTGTAAAACATATGCTGGATAAGTTATTGGTTCATTCCTCTGTGGCGACCCCAGCTTAATAAAGGGACTAAACCGAAGGGAAAATGAATGAATGGCACTACAGAAGAGTAAACTCTTTTTTTTTTTTTTTTTGAGCAAAATGTAAATAATCTAATCTAATTAAAACATTAATGCTAAGCTAAACTAAAAGTGCTCCTCCCAGACCCGGAGATCTGCTGAATGGTTTCAAGCTAAAACTCAATAGTTTAACTCTAGGGGACTTGTAAAATTACACATATTTCTCAAAAGCACTTTAATGTGCCTGAAAAAAAGCTAAACTTTTTAATGAGGACTAAATTGCTTCGTTCACCTTTAGAAATCTTCTTGGCTTTAAAATCTGAAAAGACACAAGGCACGACATTTCATTTGATGTTGTGTTTAGAACTGTGCCACCTTTTCATAAAATATTCTGTGTTTTTTTGTCACATAGTCAAAGAAACGCACTCCAGCCAAACCCACCTTCAGTTCCTCTCTAATGCGATCTTCCTCTTCTTCCTGCTTGGCTGCCTTTCTGTCATCCGTCTCCTCCTTCCATTTTTCTGCCGCAAAGCGAGCCTTTTCCTTCGCCATGGCATCTCGAAACTTCTTTTCAATCTCTGCCTCCTTCACACGCCTCAGGAAATTCAGCAGGGGTTGAGTGATGCACTTTCTATGCCCCTGTACCCTTGTCATTATTACCCCCACCCTCATCTTTCTCAATTTTTAACTGAGTCACATCTGCCAATCCTCACCCACCCCTAATGTCTCGTTGCTCCCATTCCTTGACCCTGTCCTATAGTTCTCTCACCTGAGTTCCTGCGCCTCTCGCTGGGCCTGTTTCCTGGCTCTCTCCTCCATCAGCTCTTCCACAATGTCTTCAAAGGGCTTGTCCCCCAGGGCATCCCCCATTACCCAAACCCACACCTCTCCATCTGAGCCCAGAAGCCACTGAATGCCTCTGCGGTTGCCTGGAAAGAGACACCACATGGCAAACAGCGAAATGATAGCATGGGCAACATCTTTCCTCCACTTTCCAGAGCCATCAGACCGTATTCAGATAAGATAAAGACAAAATAACACACACACCGCAACAAAGCTGGAAGAGATTATCCTACTGGGATTCTTTATGCACTGAAGGGAACATGACAACTGGAAAAGATAATGTAAGAACTTCTAAAAACAAAGGATCTTTACCTGTCAATGCATAGACACATAAGTGACGCCCCTTTGATGCAATGGGACTGCATTTGCGACATCCTGCTCATTTGCACCATTACCTCAACTTTGACTGTCATATATATTGAATTTAATAAAGTACCTTTTCATTTTTGTTTCTCCTAAAAAGCGTTTTATGATAATTCCACTTTCAGCATCACAATCAGTCCATACAGGTTTAAGGTCTGCATCTATCAGATTCTCAGAACAAAGATAGCTTTAAACAAAGCGTACTTTGAAACTATCATTCATTCATTCATTTTCGTTCGGCTTAGTCCCTTTATTCATCAGGGGTTGCCACAACGGAATGAACCGCCAACCTATCCAGCATATGTTGAGTGTATTAAAGATGTCAAAGACTGAATGACCAACAATTTTCTTCTCTTAAATTCAGACAAAACTGAATTATTACTTATTGGGCCTACATCCTGTACACAGCAAATCTCACAACTTGACCTGCAATAAGAGGAATACAAAGTCAGCGTTAGCCCTACTATAAAAGATCTAGGTGTCATATTAGACAGCAACTTAACTTTTGAAAATCACATCTCCCATGTTACAAAAACCGCCTTCTTACATCTGAGAAATATCGCTGAGTTACGAAGAATGCTATCCATCTCAGATGCAGAAAAGCTTGTCCATGCTTTTATGATTTCTAGGCTGGATTACTGTAATGCTCTGTTCGCTGATTGCCCAGCGTCCTCTATTAATAAACTTCAGCTAGTACAAAATGCAGCTTACCAGGTCTACAAAATATGACCATATCACCCCAATTTCATTTTCCTTACACTGGCTGCTTGTTAAGTTCTGTGTTTAAAAATATTGCTCCTTACCTATAAAGCTTTAAGTAATCTAGCTCCTGTTTATCTAACCAACCTTCTGTCTCACTACAATCCGACCCGCTTTTTAGGATCTCAAAACTCAGGGCTTCTGGTAGTACCTAGAATAGCAAAGTCGAGTAAAGGAGGTCATGCCCTCTCATTTATGGCTCCCAAACTCTGGAATAACCTTCCTGATAATGTCAGAGGCTCAGACACACTCTCTCAATTCAAAACAGGATTAAAGACCTATCTGTTTAGTAAAGCATACACTCAATGCATCACATATTATGCATGAATGTGCTCCACGCAGGTGAGCTGGCTTGACAACCACCTGCAGAACACACTCCTTAATACACCAAACATTGTGTTAGAAATTCTCATACTATGCGTTACATGTTTGTTTCTATGTTTGTTTCTATAATTACTATTTTTATTTATAACACTCCATTTTTGCATCTCGTTTAAAAACACGATGAACAGAAGCTACGCTAATTATTTTCTTTATTCTCTATTTCCACCTGGGGATACTCATTACGAGGTCCCTAGAGACTATGCAGCGCCATTGATGCGATCCAAGACCTGTGAAGAGATGATCACAAGAAATCCATAATCCTAGGCCAGGCTATATCCTGAGCTGATGCTGTGGTGGTCATGGAGGAATAGAGTGCATGAGAATGATTCCTGAAAGGCCACCGTAATAGACGAGTCCCCGCATTGATCCTGTGGGCCAGCCTGACCTCCCGCCGGTGCCTTACTCACACCTGCAGCTTCTACAGAATAGTCGTCCAGCTTCTCCAGCCTCCGGTGCTAGACTGCAGATTCACACAGGAAGTTTGGCCTGTAGAATAATGGTCGTGCCCAGCAGAGCCTGGTTTCTCTTGAGGTTTTTTTTCCCCTTCACTTAGTCAATTAGTGAAGTTTTTTCCTCGCTACTGTCGCCACTGGATCGAGACTTGTGGAGCTGCTCTTCGGTGGATTTGCTCTACAGTGTTTGGAGTTTCAGCAGTGAAATTTAAACAACACTGAATTAAACTAAACTGAACTTCAACTCTGAAATCTGAACTTTACTGGAACTATGTTAAGCTGTTTTGACACAATCTACAATCTACAAAGCGCTATATAAATAAACATGAATTTAATTCAATTGAACACTGCGGATGCCCTTCCAGCTGCAACCCAGTACTGGGAAACATCCATACACACTTATTCCCAAACATACTGTACAGCAAATTAATTTTATTCAGTTCACCTATAGTGCACGTCTTTGCGCTGTGGGTAAAACCCATGTGAACTGACCCAGCCGGGACTTGAACCAGCGACCTAAAACTACCATTATTTTTTCAATTTTAATAACTTAAAAAGGTAAGATAATAATTAAAATTACTTATCATACATGGTAATTATGTTTTTTACTTGGAAATAAATCATACTTTAATACAGCAAATATTAACTATTGCTTAAAGGGACATTTAAAATGTTAAGAAACATTTGTTTTACAAATAAATGTTGCTCTGCTTGTTGCATTCATAAAGGAATTCTGAATAAATAATTCATAGGAATTATCAGTGGGATCATGTGACACTGAAGACTGATGCAATGGGTGCTGAAAATTCACATGAATTAAAAACATTTGAAACACATAAAAACATTCATTCATTCATTTTCTTTTCAGCTTTGTCTCTTTATTAATCCAGGGTCGCCACAGCAGAATGAACTGCCAACTTATCCAGCATATGTTTTATACAGGATGCCCTAGCTACAACTCAGTACTGGGAAACATCCATACACACTTATTCCCAGACATACTCTACAGCCAATTCAGTTCACCTTTAGTGCATGTCTTTGGACTGTGGGGGAAACCCATGTGAACATTGGGAGAACATAGAAACCTTACATAGAAATGCCAACTGGCCCAGCCGGGACTCGAACCAGCCACCTAAAACTATTATTATTTTGTCACTTTTCTTTACTGCTTTAAACGGTAAGATAATAACACCAATAAAATAGCTTATCATACATGTTGTTTTTATTTCTTCTTGGAAATAAATTATATTTTAATTTAAATATTAATCATTGCTAAAAGGGACATTTAAAATGTTAAGAAACATTCGTGTTTCAAATAAATGCTGCTCTGCTTGTTGTATTCATAAAGGAATTCTGAATAAATAATTAATAGGAATTATCAGAGGGATCATGTGACACTGAAGACTGATGCAATGGGTGCTGAAAATTCACAAGAATAAAACACATTTTAAAACACATAAAAAAAGAGCAGTTTAATTTGGGATGTAACAACCTAATAAAAAACAAACATTTTTCATCACAGAAATGCAGCCTTGGTGAGCAAAAGTGGCATCATTAATTTTTTTTTGTGCACAAGCAAGTACTGTAAAAGAAATAGTATGCCATAAAAAGTGTATTCATGTATTTATCTTCAAGTGGAAAATACAAAATATGTTCCATCGCAAGGTATGAAAATATATGCCATCTACATCCATTGCCAGAGCATTTTAATAACTGTAGTTAGACATTTCTGCATAATGTATTGCTTTAATAAATGCCACTCGGTTTAATTTGTTATCCAATGCAAAGACATCTATAATTATGTCTTAAATGTCAAAATCTTCTTACAACTGCTGTTTATTAAAAACACTCATGTTTCATTGACATAACACACAAACATAAGCTACAAAATGAACCAGGGACTCACTCTTGTTTTTTCCAGCAGAACTCTGGTCTCTTCTTTCCCTCTCATTCCAGCGTCGCACCTGCTCCTGCCGAATCTTGTAGAAGAGGATCTGCTTCTGCTCTTCACTAAGTTCAGCCAACAGGTCAGGCTCTATATACATTTCTTGAAGAATCTGCTGCATCATCCTGACAGGTATATGTCTCCCTTTGGTCTTTTGACCTTTGTTTCGTGTCACCGCAAATTGTAAGTAAGTCCAAGTGTAGTTCTGTCTGATTCTTAGTCTTCGCTGGCTGAAGGCCCAGAGTTTGTCCACTGTAATGCACTGTAGGCTCTATTTAAGAGTATCATTATTACCACTATAAGCCTTCTCTTTCCTTTCACCCACTTGATCACAACCACATCCCTTCCTTTAATCTTAACCCAGTCTCTTCCACTGTACTGGCGTCCTGCACTGGTGTTTTGTTCTGTTTGGAAGCTTTATGGGGTTTCATTTCACCCTCTCCCCCCCTCTATCCATCTCCTGCAGTGACCTTACTGGCCAGGTGAGGCTGACACCAAATGTGACACTCCTAATCTGTAAATTCCTGCACCTTTGCATATTAAACACATCAACATCTACATGATTTTACATCGATTGGCTTGTACAGAAATAGTTTCCAACCTTATGTCACAATAATTACTACAAATGACAGACTAATATCAGCTATTTGCAAGCAATTACTCATGGAGGTCAGATTATGAAAGAGACATACTATTAAGGGAGGACTTTCAGTGTAATTATGTAATTAAGATGGAACGTGGAAAAAAATTGATGATTTGATTTATAGCTACTGTGTGTGTGTGTGTGTGTGTGTGTGTGTGTGTGTGTGTGTGTGTGTGTGTGTGTGTGTGTGTGTGTGTGTGTTTATGCGGTGTGTGTTATCTGACCTGTCCCTTTCTCCCTAACATTTCATGGTGTAATCTTACATCTGCGACTCATATTGCCATAGCGCTGCAATAGCAGATGGTGTTAACCCACCCACAACCCCCCGCTTTTAACCCTGGTTATCAAGTAGCCCTTAAGAAGACAATAATGCCATAATTACTTACTTAAATGGACTGTGGTTTGCCAAGTATAATTTATAAGGTCTCATTTTCTAGTGTGCCACGTTTATCTGTTCACATGCTTTTTTTCTGTGTGACATCTTTATTAATTTCTGTGCCTGATAAATAGTGTTCTGATTACATCTGATTATTATGTTGCCTCGTATGCATAAACACACACTCGCTGGCCACTTTATCAAGAACACGTTCCTAATTCCAAATTAGATTTTGTCTTTGATCTATCTATCTGACTGTCTCTCCATCCGTGCGTCCGTCCGTTCATCCATCTATCCATTTATCTTAACGTTCTGATATCAATTTTATGAATAGTTTTTTTAAATTAATATTAAACAATCAATAGAAGCTGGTTTGTATCCCGTTTAGAGAGGATAGAACTGAAAGAATCACATACACACAAAAGATGTTCTTATTTTATATCTTATACCTGATAAAAATCTTCTCATCAATCCCAGTTTTAAGAACAACAGATAATAACTTGCCTTCTAGTTGATCGTTTGGAAAAGTGGCAGATTTTTCTGATGAATCATCTGTTGAACTGCATTCCAGTCATCATAAATATTGCCCATGATCTATTGGAACCTGAATGGACCCAAGATTCTCAAACAAATCAGTCAAGTTTGGTGAAGGAAAAAACATGG